TATATTTATATATACCATATATTTTTTCCATATCATTTTATTTGGGGGTGGAGAGGTGGGAGAATGTTTCTAAGTTTCGAAAAATTTGCAGCAAATTTAAAAAGAATAATGTCAGATTTTCCTTACAAAAACAAGTAAACAGCTGATGAGTTGAAAGTCTGACACTGTAACCTACATAATGGTCCACTATTTATGCACTGTAACATATGTTAGGTATAGGAACAACGGGCAACATTCTTTGCAATGATACATGTAGTTGGCCGACAAATCCCTCTGTGTAGTCTTGGTACAAACACTCTGGAAATTAGCTCCAATTTTTATGGGTTTTTTTTCTATATTATATTAAAAAACTTTTCCAAGAAATGTTGGTATTCAGAACAACACAAATGGTTTTTGTTTAGCCGTAGAAGTATGTAGAGCTGTAAAATAGAGTATGAAGAGATCTACCTACTGGGATATACAAACTGCACACCTTTAGTGAGTTATCTACAAATCCACATGTATCCTTTCCCTTTCTTGATTTTAAATATAGAAGCAATTTAATTTATTTCCATCATTAATTGTAGGATGTTTCCATAAATGAGAAATTTTCATTTAAAAATATTAGCTAGCAAATTTGGGAAGGAATTTGATAGGATTTGCAAAATGTTTGACCCAGAAAGATTGTGCAGCTTTGCAGTAGATGGTTACAGAGAAAGTCTAGTGTATGACGGTCTAGCCCTGTCTGAGGTGCTGGCTCACCCTCTGCTGCTGGGCCTTTTGTATGGTAGCGATTTGCTGTGCCACCACAGACAACACTTCAATATCTATACGGTTGAACTCGTCAAAACACGCCCATGCTCCCGCACTGAAAATCAATATTTAACCAACGCCCACATGAAATAGAGTTGATAATGATTAAATTGCAAATTCTTCCTTTCTTTATTTAAATGATTATATAAATTATTGATAACAATTTCATGTCAGAAAAATATCATAATTTCATGCAAGAAAAAATTTGTATTACAGACCCCAGGTGAAGATCCTCCAATTCTACCTTATTTTATTATTATCGGTACTTATAATCATAAAACATTTTATTTTACCAGCATGTACACAAGAAATCGCTGATTTCAAGCACTCTTTGAATGGGCCAGGGGACAAATTTTCATTACTTATCAATCAAAACTGGTCGGGATTCCAGTGTCGATTCCTGTACTTTAATTTTCATAAAACTAATATATCTTGATTATATCAGAAAATGGTTTATTTACTACAATGATACACAGATGATAGAGCGACTTAAGTGATTATCGCAAAATGACACTGTAAATACTTATTTGTTCAGGCAAATTGATTAAATGCACAAAAACCACACAACACTGTTAATTCACTCAAAGTATAAGATTACAGCAACAACATAAACACTTGGAGGATGTTTAACATATCTAAAATGTAAATAACATATCTTATCATTTATCAAAAAAGCAGTGATCAACATAAATATCAACAGTAAATCAAGATTCAAAATTCTCACATTGTTAATCTTTTACGTGGTTATTTAGGTGATTTTTTAATGAACAGCGATTTCAACTGGCGAAATGAACAATATGAAATGAACATTCATTTGATGTTTGAATGCCATTTTTGTGAAAAGTTTGAATTGATTAGCTAAATTAACAGAATGAAATCCACATCAATTTCAGGAATCTGTTTTACAGGTGTGTACAACAGCTAATTTGAATCTTGATTTCAATGCATGGTAAAATATATACATAACACATTAAAATTTCTATTAAACAAATAACCCATACATAAACATAGAAAGTTCAACTATCTATAACCATAGAGATTAACAGAAATTCTTATAAATGTTCAGAATTAACAATAATATAAAACATTAATTTAAATATCTGTGTAATATTTTCTTTTATAATCAGAGAATTGATGTTCCATTAACAACAATTAATAGGAAAAAACAATCTGATGTTTTTATCATTTACATATATGTATATCCTGTTAAGAGTAGAAAACTTATCATTTGGTCTCAAGCACATTATGAATATGGATGAGTACCTCGCCAGTCCTTTGAAGAACTTGCCCATAGCCATGAAATCCAGCTGGTCAGAACAGTTGAACACCACACACTGTACAGCCATTGCCTTGGCCAGATCCTGTTAGAGAGAACAAATAACATTACCTATGTGGTCTCACCCCTACGTAAGTATATGTGACCCTAAATGATTTAAATATGCAACATCCCCCATGGAATTAATTAACATACATAGTTTTTTGGGGGAAGAGAGAGCAAAATGAAATTAGGGAGGTTTTTTTATTACAGGTACCCACCCTGAACCCAGGACATTTGCTGAAGTGGGGATGGGGCTTATTTGCAAGCGAGGTCTTATTTGCAGTCAAATACGGCATCAGCTTAAAGCTTGCAAAAAATCCTTTCGATAATTGGTATGTCATTTGTAAGCTACTTATAAACCAAGAGAGCTTATTACATTATTTTGACTAAAACTAATTTTTCCACATAATCACTTTTATTTTTTAAGAACTGGCAGACAAATAAAAGATGTCTAGAAACAATGTTCAACAGATTACTGCAGTGTAACTATAAAGAATATCAACCTTTGTTGTCTCAGTCTTTCCTGTTCCTGCGGGCCCGGCAGGAGCTCCTCCGAATTTGAGATGGAGAGCTCCAGTCAGGGTGAGATAACACCTGTTTACAAAGTTTTAAACAATATATATATCACATAAATCACACAATCCACATTGTAATGTAATCAATGGAAGCCATTTTATTGTATTCTTTAAGTAAAGACAGAAAGTCTCTGCAATCGGACAATTTTTAAATTGCTGTATGAAATTATTTAATCATAATTCAGTGGCTACTACATAGGTAATCACTAAGAAAAATATCCTCGACGCAGATTTTTTTTTTGAAGAATTTTGAAGTTATTTACAATGTTTAAAATATCTACTAAATAGATGGATTTGTGTATCTGTGTACTGATGATGGCTATAATACCTATCAGTTAACGGTGTAATGACCAGTCTGAAGGTGTTTCCTAGGTATTCGTAACCGTAGGGAAACTGGGCGTTAACAGCACGTATGTACAGGTTTTCATCCTCCAGCCAGTAGTATCTGAGGGAAATAATGATAACCGTAAAAAAACTCATGTCAAGATAATTTGTTTTCCAAAAATATTTCCAATATAACAAATGTTATAGATTAATGCAAAAGAAATCTTTAATAGAAGAGGAAATTAATCTGTTTATTTTTTTTAACTATCCAATTTTTTTATTTACATGCTAGGCAAAGTCATTTACTCACATTTTTTTTAATTTGATTCAATAAATTCATTAATTTTGCATCAAATGACTGACAACGATTCTCAAAACTAGACAGGAAATGACTCATTATACGAAAAATGTAGCTAACACACTGTAAACAAATCCCTTGACTTACCATGAGTAATATAACAAGTATATAATGTTAAAATAAAGTATAAAACTCACCTGATTTGACTGATCCACTCAAAGGCGTTGGCATTGCTCACCTCCTCCTCGACAATTCTGTGGACAACGTCACGGGCATGCACCTCTATGACGATGAGGGCAGACAGGGTCAGTCGTCCGATCTTGGACAGGTCAGTCCTCACCAGGAGTCTCAGGTCATCCAGCTGTTTCAACATAATTTCATATATCTCCTTGACCTTGTTCTGTTCCAGAGCTTCAGTGACCTCCTGTGTCCAGTAGGTCTGACAGCAGGCAATGACCACTTGACCAGGCCAGTCGAGTACCCATTCTGTTCTTGGTTTCTGTAAAAGGCAAAATATAATGTTCACATCTGGAGTTTTTCAACTTCTTTGAAAACCTTTTTATAATTTGGAAACAAGAAGAATTTCATTCTTTGTTATGACTGGTCTGAAAACTTGTATTTGTATACTTATTTTTTGTCAGCACATTTGGGATGACAAAAATCCTAAAAAATAATTTGAAAATCATTTCTCTGGAAAAAGAATAATGTGAAACCAGTCAATCAAGCTGCCAAGGGGCGAGAAAATACTTGTTCTTTTTAAACAGATGGTCCTTAGAGACAGGTTGTTATAATAGGGGTGTTCTTGATATGGTTGATATAGGCAGATGTTCTTTATAGACAGGTGATCTTTTAGGCAGTTTCACTGTAGAGTACTTACAACTTTGTAAGCTTCCAGGGCCTCCTTGATGATTAGCCGAAGACTTTCTCTCATGCAGCGCTCAATCTCCAACATCCAGTCCTCAACATTTCCTGTGGGGTACAGCGTCTCCTTGAAGTCTACACTCTCGCCCTCACCAGAGAACATCTTTGTGATCTTCAAATCATCCTCAAATCGGAGCTGTAATAGTAAACAAAACAATTCAGTCACATTGTTGTTCAGAAATGTTTGGGGCAAACCAGTTTAC